ATGACCGCAATGCCGAACGGGCAATGCCCGTCCGGCTTTTATCTTACCATGCTCGGCGGGTTTTCGAACATGTTAAGGTCCCCACACACCTTGTGATAATCGTCCGATAATCGCGGCAAATCCCGCGATATTCGTAAGGTGTGTGGAAGCCGTGCGACCTCTACTACTGTAAGGTCGCACGACTTTAAACTTACGAACATGTTCGAAAACCCGCCGAGCATCGTACGATAAAAGCCGGGCGGGCCGGTGTCCGCAAGCGCACACTGCCCGTTCGGCATTGCGTTCATCGGAAGCCCGCCCCTCAGGGGGGCGCGGCTTGTGATCATCGCAAGTACGATCTGCCTGTCCAAGATAGGCAGATCGTACGTTTTCTTAAGTACCTTACAACCATCGCCAGATAAAAGTCCTGCGATGGTTGTAAGGTGTGTGCCCAGCCTTCGTAAGTTTAAAGTCGTGCGACCTTACAGTAGCAGAGGTCGCACGGCTTCCACGCACCTTGCGATAATCGTACGATCGCGGGATTTCCCACCATTATCGTACGATTATCGCAAGGTGTGTGGGGACCTTAAAGTGGACCGGTTACATTGGGGCGGCTTTTTGTTTTTTAAACCATCATTCAGGACCTCCGGGAAGATGAGGAGCTCCTAATAATGAGGATCTCGGAGGATAACATCCTCCTGGCATGACGGTCAGAAGACAAACGCAAAAACAGAAATGGAGGTCAGGGGGTGGCAGTCCACACATTTCCCTATGACTAGCAATGGAGGAATCAACACGAGATCCTCCTCATCATGAGAAAGCTCAGGTGATTCAGGGTTAGTTGTCTGGATCTGATCATCGACTATGACATGACAGGTCCCCTTCACAGATTTTTACCCCCAACAGGAAGTTAAAGAATTGCGCCTTTCGCTGTATTTTTTTTTTTTCTGTAACCGTTACTTCCTGTCGCTGTATTTTATCCGTTACTTCCTGTTGCTGTATTTTATTGTTTCCAGTGCAGGAACTAATCGCCATAGCGATCCAGGCGGCTGCTATGGGGCCTGGGGCACAGGTGGTCCCGGCCAGGACGAAGAAGAAAGGGGTCTCCCTTATGCCGTGCGGGCCACCTGGGTCGCAGGCTGTTGGCCGTCACTGAGGAGGAACGCACCGCTGTCCAGATCGCTGACCTGTGCGGCGGCGCGTTCCTCCTCATCCGTTACTTCCTGTTGCTGTATTTTATTGTATCCATTATTTCCTGTCGCTGTATTTTATCGTTTCCAGTGCAGGAACTAATCGCCATAGCGACCCAGGTGGCTGCTATGGGGCCTGGGGCACAGGGGGTCCCGGCCATGATGAAGAACAAAGGGGTCTCCCTAATGCCGTGCGGGCCGCCTGGGTCGCAGGCTGTTTGCCGTCACTGGCGGCAGTGAGGAGGAACGCGCCGCTGTCCAGATCGCTGACAACCTGTGCGGGCGCGCGTTCCTTCCTCACAGCCGCCAGTGACAGCCTGCAGCTGCGGAGGAGCGGGCCCCGGCTGCGGAGGAGGAAGAGCGAGGAGGAGGCGGGGTCCGGCGGCGAAGGCAGCAGATCAAGGCTGACAGGTAAGAGGTGTGCAGGGGTGTGACCAGCCCACCTGAAACCCTGCAGCGCCCACCATAGATAGTCTGCAGGGTCACTCTCAGATGGGTTGTTTGGGATCTCAGGTGGGCTCCGCAAGGGCCCCATATAAAGTTTTGCTATGGGGCCCCCCGATTGTTTTCCTTACATCCTGTCGCTGTGTTTTATTGTATGTGTTTTTATTTCCTGGCGTGTATCTGACATGTCACCTGTATCATGTGTCAGACACAAATGTAACCCTTGATATGATTTCATCTTATTGTGCTAAATATATACAACGTGTTTCCCTCCGCGTGTAGAAGCCGCCACAAACAAAAGGTCTCCCTCGCATTACGCCGGCCACGCCTCTCCGAGCGGCGTCACGCACCTGTTTGTCTGCCGGCCGCCACCCAGCCGAGTCGCTTTTATGTAAAGGTGACAGAGCACGAGTCACGTTGTTACACGGAACGCTGGATGCCGGGCGAAT